AGAAGAGAAAAGATGGAAAAAGTGCAAAAAAAAACACTTTCACCGCGTTATTGGTCACACTCTTGGCATTAAATGTGCACGCACTGAAATGCAACGCAAGACTCCGAAGAAAAGAAATTATTGTGATAAAATTAATTAATTTTATATTAAAATTTCAATTATTGGAAATAAAAGAAGCAGCAACAACAACAACAAAAACAACAAAAACAACATCAACAACAACAATAACCTGCAAAGCAACATAATCGACTGAGATTGGAGTTATTGCAACAGATTTTTTGTCTGCTAGAAGGAGTCAGCCAAGTAAAACTGGCACAATGCGAATTCGATATTGACTGGGTACTGGGTGGAGAAGAAATAAATTATTTCAAAATGGATTTTGCGAATCCAGAAGAAGCGAAACATCAAAGAACTTCGCGTGCAGCGTGACGGCAACGCACTCTGCAGCACCGCCTCAAATAAGGTTAACGTCAAGCGCAGTGGAAGAAAGTCTTCTGCTTTTTCTGAAGCTGAAATCGGATACAGTGAATCGAGTGAATCGTTAATGTCACATAATTTCAAAACAAGAGCTTTTGTTTTCACTGAAATCGAATTGAAAAACAAAGTTAATTTTTAATTTTTTCCTTCATTCTGATTTCAAAAAGTAAACAAATAATTTATTGCTTTTTATTTTCTATACATTTTTTATATATTGATTAAACTCATAGTCGTATCTCTTTTAGAAGTCGATACATTGTGGCGAGTAAATAGATACGAGTAAAAAATTTAATTGGGAAAAGTGACTCTAAGAAATTATTTCCAAATACATATATATAAATATATATATATGAACATGTATATACAATATATTAGTTTGAATTCGTTTCCAGAATTTTAAAAGAGATACTTATCGAGGTATTAATTGCAGTTAGATCTTAGATTTAGGATATCTACACTAGCATATAATTGTGACCATTCAAAGCCTTTGAATAAAAGTTTACATAAAGAAGAAAGTCTTTCATAAGAAACTTTTTATTTTTAAACATGACTCTTTTGTAGATGCTATAGTGGCTATATTTGTTTATATTTTATTATCACGATTCTTAATATACCTAGTTGATATGATTATCTAAATACTAATCACAATATTATTGAAAGTTACACATACAAGTCTCAAGTCTATTGTTATACCTTATCCAAGACAATGTCAAGAAGAACCTCTTTTGCTTTTATTAAAACTAAGAAGGTTTATTAATTCGGCTCCACCTAGTTTCGTTTTTAAACTGTTATTATATAGATTGGTATTCATATTTGTATATATATAAAAAAAAAACATTCTAAGATTACCTTATTATTTACCTACCTACAATTATTTTTTAAGTAACCTAATACAGAATGTAAATATATTGTTATATTATATAAACAGTTATGACTGATTGAGTGGTCGTTTTGGCTTCTTAGCTGATATCCTTACACCTCACATATTTATCAAATATTAGGAGTTTTAATACTATATTTCACACAAAAATCTGCTTCCATGCTTCCAGGTGAGTTTATGTATGTATTTTAGTATATCTTTTGTAAATACTGAGCAGTCCAACAGAAAGACAGGAAAGTACTTTCTTAAAAGTCTTTCACTTTTGTTGCAAAGGCCTAGCCATTATGTTTAGAGAAATGTATGTAATTATTTCTTCATCCTGCAAGTTTCCGCAAATTCGACTTAGTCATATTGTATTAACACTGGATCGATAGAATTATATATATATATATTTATCTTATATATTATCTTATATATTATTATCTTATATATTTTATATATTGACTTCCACCTTTTAAAGGTGGATATGAGAACTATTAGAGTCTTTCACATAAAACTGAGTTGATACATTTCAATAATTTTTAAAGATTCCAAATTCGTCTTCTGCTAAGTCACAAAAGATAATTTAATTGGATTTAGAATTTATTTAATGAGAAGAGAATGACAGTAGTGATGACGTTAGTGTTGGATAAAAAAGAAAAGCTTTAATAGTACACGAAGAGACACTCGTACTTAAGGACAAATCGACTAAATGTCGAGAAATTATGCTGATATATGTAGGAAAAACTACAGCTTAAACTAAAAAAATATCTCTTACCAAAGTATGCTTCCAGAACAAGTTGAAGCATATAATTATTACACGTGCATCAATACACAGAAAATATAAATATATCGCAATATAATATGTCATAATATAATATAACGTAAATGAAATCAGACATGATCGGGTTAAGTTCAAGAAGAATTTTTATATCACACACAATGTTTTTGATATGATATACTTTAACATATAGAACGTATATGATGTTGCAAGAACGATTGGAGTACTGAACTGGAAGAGAGTAACAGAAGATAGGGACAGATGAAGGCAGATCGTGAGGGAGGCTAAGATTCATACTGGACTGTAGTGCCAAATAAGAAGAAGATATTTTAACATATATTAGTAATAAATTACGATTGAACATACACTTTTGCTTGTGAATTTGTTTCTAATATGTTAAATAAGGTATACTGTGATATATGTATGTGTAGTTGTCAAAAAAAGGATTAATCTTCGATTTGAAGAAGTTAGCTTAACTGAGTAGTGTTTTTAGTTTACAATCAAATAGTTTGGGTTAAAAAATTGGCTTAGCATTATATGAAAAAAGCATAAGTCTAAACTCCACACATATCTTTAATAAGAAAAATGTGTTTCATGTTTTAGGTTTCAAGTGTGGCATGTACGAGGGTAGACTTTGACGCTCAACCCCCACTCTGCATCAGATTTCATTATAAATCGGAATTGATTCTATAAAGAGGAGTATTATTTATATAACAATTTTATTTTTGGTGGCGTATAAAAGTCTAAGTTTAGGGTTCGCAATACACTAAACCATCTCCGAAAAAAATCAGACTATTTCGAATTAAGCAAAATGGATTTTTTTCAATAAAATATTTTCATGTTAAATTTATATTAATTTAGGCACATCCCCCCTTGATTAAGTGAGTCTTTGTATACGCCCCTGTATGTTTCAGAATATTTATTTAAAAACTATTCAGTAGCTATATTATTTAGTATAAAATGTATTTTTTAGGTTGTTTAATTAAAATTATTAAAATCAAATAATATAACAATATTAATATCATAATAATATTATTATTATGTTGAGGCTAGTTGAGTCAGTGTATCTGAGCACATTTACTCTCTATTAACTGCGATGTTTCTTCAAAACCCCTCTTTGCGCCTTGACTAGATTATTGTTTGTCACTTCATCAGATTAAGCAATAATTGACCTCAGATCTCCATACCTCCCCGAGGAGCCTGTAACCATTCTGAGATTTGATAACACGGTGTTGGTAAGCCCTTAAGTTTTCGCAAATAGTTTCAGGGCTCTATCCTTTATGTATTTTTTGATGGGATTAATCTTGAGGTCCCTGAGGATGTCATTCGTTCTAATGTATCATGGTACTTTTACTTTTACTTTTATTAATACACTAAATTAAAATATTGTAGTTACTATCTTCCTAATATTCCTGCTCAGGGTTGCCATCTTCAAGTTTGAATTCATTCATAAAAAAAAGGTTCCCTATTTAATCTTCTCGATTGGAAATATGAATTTTAAATTTAAATTTTCGTAACATATGATCGAGATTCTTAAGATATGAATAATCAAAAATCACATTTCCGGTATTCCGGTAGAATTCCGCTCATGTAAATAGTGAATCAATTCTTATGATAACCCTCTGTGTATCTGGAGACTAATTTTTTTGGTCCCTATGATATCATAATATTATTATCATTATTATGAAGTCTGCTTTGCATGTACTATGAAATGAAAATTCGAGTTGTCCAGTAATTTTTTTTAGAATAGTTGAGAACTAAAGTTGAAAATAATGAATGAATTATTTTACTACATAATTGTAATGTAGTAATGTAGTACATTACCGTATTCAAGAACTATCACTGTTTAAATAAATCAAAAAGAATATTGATACTACAGTATCAATATATTGCAATGGTCAGGTATTTCGGCTGTAAAAATAATAACAATCTCAAAGATCCTGATTGATTAGTGTTATTTTTTTTCTAAGTAATCACTCGTCAGTTGTAAAAATTATTTAATTAGCAAATTTGCGAAAATTAAATACAAGAATTATTTCCAAGACCACTGATGATGGGTATTTGGTAATAGTCGAAACAGCTGTATGGTCAGCCAAAAATTCAATTAATTAAAATAATATAAAAAAGAATTTTTGTTGTTGTTGTTCACTACTGTTCGAAAAAACCTCTTAATTAGCAAATGATATTATAGCGAATAGTATTTTTCTGTAAACCTTATAATATTTGATCAAAAAAATTTTAAATTGAATTATTTTTAATTAATAAAACATGTTTTAAAAATTTCAAAAACATTTATTGCTGTTTTGCTTAAAATATGAAAAAAAAGTTTAATGCTTATTGAAAATTGTAGTAAAGCCTTTCAAAGACACTTTAGTTGATATAAAAAAAATACATTAACTTTAAAATAAATGCATAAAATTATTGCTACTTTAAGAGACGAGTCTGATAGGGAAGAGGGGAAAGCTAAGTATGCATAGTAAATAAAATAAACTTAAGATTAAGTTTGGTTAATTGTGAAAATAAATTAAATGGTTATTTGTACTCTACACAGAAAGAACACTTTATAAATATAAGAATTAAATGAGTGTAAAATTAGTTTATTTTAAAAGTAATAAAGCTCTTAGTTTTAAGTTAAAGTTAAAAGTCTAAAATTAGCTATACAAGTAAAAGTACCGAAGCATTACATACAAAAGAGTGAAAGATGCAGGAAAGGAAATGCATTTGTTAGATACTTTTCAGTAGACGGTTTTTGTAAGATTGCTTGTTAGAGATATTTTTTTTTAATTATTGCAGTTTGGTTTATTTGAACGCTTATTATTTTTACACAACCTTAGCGAATAAATATTTAATTTTTATTTGTTTTTGTTTAATTTTTCTTATAATCGCTTCAATTAAATAAATAAATAAATAAATAAATAAATTTGAAAACATGGCTTTTTTTCTCAACTGAACATTGCACTATAAAAAAATTATTAAATAATTAAATAAATAAATTAAGTCCACCAGTACTTTATTGCACTCGTTCCACCTAACGCGCTCCCATAGAGAGTATATATCGTCTATAGTGTGTTATCAGTTCAGGGTTTATATGCGGCATAGGCCAAGTTCTGTGCTTGACGCAGTGAACGTCCGTAACTGTGTTCATCGTGTGAGTAGCTTGGATGCGCTACAACTTCATAATTCTCTTTCTTGGATTCCATCAATTTCTTCAAGCCAATAATACCCGACAAAAGTAAAGCAATCTTACCGATCACTAGAGCTTTGAAAGAAATCAATGCCAAGAAACCAATGGCAAGTGGAAGGAGTGCAGCCATTTTCAATTTGAAGAGCAACAAAAGTGGCAATAATAACTTCTTCTTTTGCTTCTTCTTACCGCGAGCTGTAATTGAAAAAATAAATTAATAGAAAAGGTGAAAATCAAGATTAACATAAATCAAGATATAATTAATGAATTAAGTTTATAATAAGAGAAGAAATGCATTCAACATTTTCACAACGTTTTCACTTTAAGCTTATTTAGTTTGCGATTTATTACTCATACGTCAGCGAAATGCTGTGGAGATATTAGCAGCCGCAGTTGTTGCAATGCTGTTGAAAAGTTGAAACAGGCTTTTGATGAAACAGTTAAGATACTGGAAATGCATATTGACACATCAAATATGCCAACGAAATTAATATGCATTTACGGTTATCTTCATGAAATTATAACAACTTTTCTATATAGGCAACCACAACTCCAACTCCAACTTCAACTTCAACTCCAACTACAGCGGCTGCGAGCAAAGAAAAATGCCATGTAAAAGTCAAACTATCTATGAGATACTGAGATACTTTATTGTGTAGCGGCGATCTAATTGGCAACGCTCATAAACAGCAAATATAAATGCGATAATTAAAAAATTATTCAAGCCAAATGAAAATATTTGAAAAAGCAATAATTGAGTTGTGTCTTGTGTATATGTCGGCAAAAAAAAAAAATTGTTGAGGGAAAAAATTCGTAGAAATAAGCAAAAGTATCTGTTTGTTATGCTGGAGTCGTTTGCGAAGTAGAAATTTTTATTGATTGTTTGTGCGCTAAACGCATTGTCAACTTCAAATGAGTTTTGGTAAAATATCTCGTTTTCGACTTAATATCCAGTGACATCCTACTTATCATACACTGCATGTCTGGCACACTTGTTTGTATTGGCAGCATTACTGCAGCTGCTCGAGCGACCACACCTCGAGTTGTCCACTTTCTTTTCAAAAATTACATTTTTGCAATGTATCGAAAATTGTGATTAAAGCAAAATTTATGCGAAAAAATTTAAAGAATTTCATAAATAATTTATTATATTTTTTCAATTTATATTTACTAATCCAATGTCACTTTAGTTGGAGTACGTTTCCTTTTTTTAGCCGAAAGTGCATTTCTCTAATCGATGCCAACCTCACTACGCCTCGTGCATTCTTTGAGCTGTGAAAATGTGCAAGTTTATTGCAAACTTTTATTTGGCCAATTTAGCAAATCTATTGCTAACAAGCAGACGAATTGTATATCATTTATAGTTAACATTTATTCGTGTTCACAATAAAAATTTTTGAGTAATTAACACTTTACGTGCGCCGTTTGCGTAAAATGAGAAAGTTTGCCCGCCAACATACGAACTGGCAATGATTTGGCCTGGCCTCGTTTTATTGCCAATTTAATACGTTTTATGTATAAAAAGATACTAAAATATATAAAATATTTAAAAGAAGTGATAATTGATAGTTTTAATACAAGCGGCATACATGAAATACAATTGTATCTTATAGGGGCTTACTGTGTGCACATCACTTTCGAAGAAACTTCACAAAACGTTCAAAGAGATTTTGACGAAAGTAGAAGTGACTGTAGTTTATGAGTGACACAAAGAAGTGACAATATATACCTTCCCATAATTCATTACTGTATAACTATTTAAATGTAGTAAATTTTAAATTGTTCAATTATTTTTTGAAAAGTTTTTAAATGAGATGTGCCTTAAGTAATGACCACTTTTAGTTGCAATAGTTAGTTATTTAAGTAAAGTCTAATATGAGAAAATCGGTATTATTTGAAATATATTTAACATAAAATAAATTTTTGTTTTTGTGAAATAAAAATTACTTTCGGAAGACGGAATGTCTTCTATTTGGTTAGGGTCTGTTGCACCACCAAAGATCAACCCTAACCCTATCCAAATAGAAGACATTCCGTCTTCCGAAAGTAATTTTTATTTCACAAAAACAAAAATTTATTTTATGTTCAAATTACTTTCCGTCTTACGAAAGTAATTTTTATTTCACAAAAATAAAACTTTATTTTATGTTGATGGTCGCAGTGCCCCGCTCCGTTGGGAGCTGATACCCTGTATATTTCTATTCTATTCTATTAGCTAGTTAGTTGAAGTAGAAGGAGGAATAAATCCTCTTCAATTAGCTAAGAAAGCCGCTTTGAATCTATAATTTATCATAATAGTTGGTTTAAGAAGGTCAAACTGGAACCAACCATAAGCATTTATAAAGGCGAAAGTCTGGCCAATGCTAATACTGCAGATATCGTTGAGTGTGTTAAAGAATGTGGCCACCAAAAGCCTAAGCCAAACCTGGACATAGACATAACAGATGTTCTGGTGTTCGTTCTTCAACAGTTGCAGAAAATATCACAGGATGGGCCAAGTTTAGATCCTTGCCGTCTTATGATTCAGTGCCCTGCAAAGACAGATATCAACCTAGATACCTCTGATTTGTTTCTGTGTATTAACTCAGAGGTTCTGCATTTAGAATAGATTGGCCATGTACCCCTTGACCTGACTACTGGGTCAGCTCATACTAATGTAGTATGAAAAGGAAATTTTCAAAACAAAAAAATTTCTAAATTTTTAATCAAGTGAATTCTAGAGCCGACTATAAAACTGTTGTCTACAGCAATCTTTGGTAATAACTGTTAATAATTAGCAGTACATAATTTCGACTATCAGTTTAAATAATGTTAACGGTTAGTTTATCATTAATACTACTATTAGAAATTATAATGATTCAGATAATGTTCTGATACTATTATCGAATTCATCAAACCTCTTCCGCTATATCAAATAAACAGTTTAGTATATGTAAACACTTTAGAAGTGGTAATTAATTAAGTATTTAATTTTAATATAAAACTAACTATAATTTAAATTGCTGTTAAATTTATTATTTAAATTTATTATTTTAAAAAAACAATTATCACTAAAGTTTCTTCTATTGTGAAAACGAGAACTAAAATAATAAAATTAACAAATGGGAAAACTAAGTGGTTTGCATATTTCTGTAGAGATGGCAATAGCTAAATACTTTTATATATAATATGTAGTTAAAAAATATAAAAAATAAAACAAATTATTAACACACTTTAATTAATAACATATTTTGCAACTGCGAGAAAACAAGACATTTAAGTGGCACTCAGGAAAAAGAAATTTTTAGCTGATAAAATAAAATTAAATCGATTTGTTTCATTCCTGTTTAATAACCGGGCTTAAGAACTAGTTTAACTACACTTTTAAGGTAAAAAATCTCTCCTTAGTAGTGTAGAGATGAGGCTATTGGTGGGTTAGCTAAAATGTCACCATAGCCCGCATAGCAATCTGAATAATATAAGTTCAAAGATATAGTTTATAGTGATATAATGATCTTATAGTGTTATTCATTGCGGTTCCCTGGTCTCTTCTTAGCCACTAATTGAATATTAAGTCAGAAGTAATTATTTATTTTTAATATGAAGAAATCTTCAAACCAAGATCTGAGAGTCTACCACCTGGGATCGATTATAAACATAAAAATCTATTATCATCGCCTTTCACAGTTAAGTGGAAAAATTCTCTTAATTTCTATTTTGGTACTTCTTTGGGTTTACCTATTAAATGGAATTCTTTAAGAAATAATGGTCAAAAAAAGTAGTAAAAATGGTAGAAACTAGTGTTACTACTATCAGACTAGTTACTATTATACTACTTTGCGATGTAGATAAAAAATAATTTACTAAGTTATCTACAAAATCTTTTCATATCTACTTAAATGAGTAGTATAGATTCTTATAATCTATGTCAATTTTCCTGTCAATATTGAGTCTATTGTCAGAAATCATTTTGAAATTTAAATCATTTTGTAACCTTCTAGAGATAACTGTACCGACTACTGCACCCTTATAGTTTTGATTTAAAAGCATAATTTCAGTGATATATATTTAACAGAACTATGACTCAAGACATCATTTTTTTACTTAAGCTTTGCTATTTTATAGTTTCAATTACTAATAAACCATTTATTTTCTTAAGATGTGATTGGTTAATTGTCCATTTGAGCGCACTACAGGTAAAACTGTAAAAAAATTCCGGTTACTAGATCTTTAACATATAGGGGAAGACCTACATAACATTAAAATTCACGCCTGAAGCTGCTGTTTTATGCTTCGATTAACACCAAAATATTTTTATAACAAGGTAGATACAGTATTTGCACCTATCTTAAAGCAGATTATGGTTGGCATATATTTGTGTCTCTGATCGCATACAAATTAGCTAACGTAAGAAGTGAAGCCTGCTAATCATTTACATATGCTGATTAGGTACTCGTTAAACTGTAAGGATAATATTTTGCTTGGTCACCAAAATGATACAAACTGACACCTGTAGACTTCTTCATATATTATTGCTAATTATTATTCTGCGATAATTACTGTCGTACTATATTACGATAAGAGCTTGTAAAACTATTTCGAACATTTAATAGAGTCTACTTATAGGAAGATCTTACAGCTAATTATGATCCATGAGAAAGTACGTTCTTAATAGTCAAGATATCTAGATAACAAACCTGCTATAATACTAACATTACTTTGGGATATCTTAATAAGATCTTCATATTATTCTAGTTTCCTATAAAGCCTATAATTTATTTAAGGCCCCTATTTATCACAAAAAAGGTACAAATTATAGAAACAAGTAAGCACTGATGCGACGAAGAGTAGTACTTAAGCAAATATTATAGTTCAACTAATTAGAAAATAATTAGTTTGATTTTATCTATAAAAGTTGTTTATATATGTTAAATGTATATATAAAAGTTGTTTATATCATAAAGATACAATCTCTATTTAAGTTGGTTAGATAGCAATGTTAAATGTACATATCATACAGTAAAGTAGACAAAAATGATCAATAGCATTTAGAAATAAAATTAAGTTATGTATTGAAAATGACTTCACTGATTATGATTTACTTAATTGAATTAATAGTATTTACTAATTGAATCTCTTCTTCTTCACTCACGTCAGCTCTACTTATCTACTTCTATTTCTATGAAATAATAAAATGGTGTATAGAATAGTACCAAATATGAACCAAAGTATTTTTACGGTGCTTTGGAAACAGTCAAACGAAGAAGATTTGGATATCAACAGCCTAGCTAAGCGCAGCAGAAATGTTAAAAAGAAAGTAATGCCTGTGCCAGCTCACAGCACCTATAATGACGGATAAGCTAAAAATTTATCGCTAAGTTTAAAAATTTGTGTGCATAATAATTTTCAATGTTAAAGCCACAAGCACTCAACTTAATTAAAGTGTATTACTTACTAAGTGAAATGATAATGAGAAGTAAAAATTAAATATTGTGAATAAAAAAAAGTAGAAATTAATCAAAATAAATATTAAGATATATTTTAAAATATCAGTGATGTTAGATTTTAAATGACATCAATAAATAAATGTAAACATTTACTATGCTATAAATTTTCATTCATTTGAATAAAATATTTTCTTAGTAAACATTAAATAAAAATTTTCAAATAAAATAATAAATATTCACTATTTAGTATTATTTTTAATATGAAATTAACATTTTACCAATTTATACTTTGTTTATTGAAATGTGAATCGAAAACTCTACTTCAACTATTATTTTTATTATTTTTATTCAATAAAATCAGCACCCAATACTCATGTATCTGCTGGCCTCGTTCGGGAGTGCAAATAAGTAATTTCTTTTGATATGGTAATGCACGCAGTAATGCATTTCTGTAAAATGATATCCAATTATGTTTTATTTATTGTGGCAAACTGTTTGAAAACGAGCCATTTCAAGTGAAATTTGCATAAACTAATTCATTGCCATTTCGAAGAGTTTCGCAAATGGATTAGAGTAACTGTGAAATACTCGAACAAAATTATGTCAACAATTTGAAATATTGTCAAAGTCATTAAACAAACATTATTGGTATCGGAGAATGCCTAATAGATTGATGCACTTTGTGGATATCATAAATTCAATAAAAAATTGAACCGCCTAAAGCGTCTTTCCGCTGTTTTGGTTTTGAGAGATACGTGCAATCGTCAGCGAACAGACAGCAAAGCTGAATTAGCAACTTCAGATATTCGCATTTGGCGTGAGTTTGCGACATAAGATACGAGTTGCTAAATGCAATAAAATTACTGCTGCACTTGCATGACGACCTCAAAATATAAACAATTTTAACAGTGAAAACAGGATTACCCGTTCGCTCAGTAACCCAAATATTAAAACGTGATTAAATCGATATAAATAATATGAGAAGAAAAAAAATCATACTTTAACTTTCATCGCAAGTTGTTTTCTGTTTTTTGTTTTCTGTTTTTTGTTTTCTGTTTTTTAAAAATTTCTGTTGTTGTTTACTTACATTCTTCAAGCGCACGTTGCATATCCTGTATGGAGTCTTTTGGTACTTTGAATTGTAGAGTGTGTGTGCCGAAGAAGCGCGCCACACGTTCGACCAATAGTGAATCAACCTCATTCTCGCGAGCCTCAGATTCTTCGGGCAAGACGACTTCATTGAGTGAACGTCCGACTGGTATATCATCGGTTTTGATCAAGGAAATGCCATCAGTCAATTTAACGTCGCCATTCTCACTATCGAAGTAGTGTAATGCACGTTCCTAAGTAATTGAAGAACATAAATGTTATTACTATTTAATAATATATATTATCATGTTAAATTCACTTGCAATTTCTTCTTAATATTTGTATAAAAGAATAATAATATTTATTAGAAATAATTAAATTAAAAGTAATTGGAGATATGTTCAACTTAATATTTTATATATTAATGGACAAGACATTTTTAATATTACTAATAAGCTTACTTTATACATTGATCCGCTAATGCTACTTTTATTATATAGTCTAAAAATCGAATCGGAATGTATTCTAAATAATTTTTTAAAAACTATTAATATTACAATTAGGTACTAATAGTTAAAGTCGGCTTGAATAAACGCAAGAATGACTTATTAAGCAGTATGAGTAATAAATAAATAGAATAACTTTCACTACAACTGTAAGCTATTAATTGATATAATTAGCTTAAGAGAATACAAGAAGAAGAGTAATATAAGAATCCATTATATAAAATCAGTTTAAAAGTACATAAAACTGACTTATTTAGGAGTATGTGTGATAAATAATAAAAATGACCTATACTCTAACTATTAAGTACTAATAGACAAAATAAGCTTAAAAGAATATAATAATTATTTATTTATGTGTATAATTATATATATATATACAATAAGAATGATTTCTCTTGAAGAAGTGGGACAAAAATTCTAATGCATCAGGGCCTTCTCGTAGCCTTCTAGCTGAATAAACATTTGTTTTTGGAGAATTTTGGTTTAGTTCTTTTTTAAGCTATTCTCTAAATTGGTTTAGCCTATCACTACATTATCTCTTTATGGGATATGTGTTCTACTTTGGGAATAAACTATATACTTTGATAATAATTGGTGCTTCTTTGGAAAAGATTCTAATTATAAAGTGAAGTTAAAAATTGTATGTACATTATTCCAATCACTGTGATTTTAGATATATATATATAAATATATATATATATATATATATATATATATATATAACAGGAAAGGTTTTAATAAGCCAATAAGTAATGCTCAACTTTTTTTTCATAATTTCTTATCATTATCATCTTATCAAATTGGTGACTTTTGGTACTTTTTCTGTTTTTGGTTTTATATCTATTTCAATCTTCGATTAGTAGTGAAACATGAAGATTCTTATCAAATATTTGCTACTTCTTTTGAATATAGTTTCGAGTTATAAAATATGAAGATTATCGGTTATATTAATATAAAGGTTTTAATTAATAAAAATATTTGATTTCTTAAAGGCCTTTGAGGGTGGAAAAGATAAATTATGATTCATATCAATATCATGAATAATTGGGTTTATTATTACACCTGAAGATAACTTATTTTATAAAGTATATATATTTATATATATGAGTATAAATATATAATAAAAAGTAACTATTATTAAAAATTCCCATATTTGAAAGAATAAGTTATAATACTGGACCTTTGTCATTGTTAGCAATTTGAAACATATACAGATGATAAGAACAGATGTATTTAGCAGAACCTAACACTAAGATATTAGCAGATCTTGTTTGGTCCAAGTGAACAAAATGTTTAATCAAAATTATAAACTGCTTATATAACTTTCTTAACCCTGTACTAGTGATTCTCACTTAACATATATTATCAAAACTATTGATATATAAGACTAAAAGCTTTCAATCAGTTTGAAAGTGATGGTAAGACAGTTCTTTAGAATAAAAAATCAATGCATGATAATATATGATAATCACTGACGACAATAATTGATTGGATATCCTATTTCTGATATAGAAATATTATACATTTTTCTATAACTATATGTAATTCACAAAAAGTGTGCTTTAGTTATTTATTTTAAAAATAGATTTTTTTCAATATAATCTGAATTTCTACGTCAGCATATCTTATAATTTTTTACTAGCAAGCATATAGTGCATAACTATTTTATATCTGAAAGATTTGAAAAGACAAAATATCTCTAAATTTTCAATAATTTGTTCCTTTTTGTATAATTATTTAGACTTAACAAAAATTGTTTATTGTTTATATAATTTAAATAATTTTCAAATATTTTTAACATAATTAATACAGCAAAACACTACCACTTTTATTATAAACATTTTATTAATCCCAAATAAATCTAGTAAGGATGTATAAAAAATCACTTTCTCAGTCGAAGAGAAGAGACTTATTTTTCTAATACGTTCCAATACTTGTTTCTTTCACTTTCAATTATACACAAATATTTTTATCACAAATTTATATTAGTCTTTTTCCAATTCAAATCACTTCATTCAATTTCTTAAGAAAATTTACCTTGATGCACAGAACCATTGAACGATCACCGCAATCCTTAACAATTTTCAAAGCACTGGACAAAAGATTGTCGCTTTCTGAGGGGGATCCATTCGCTGTGACTGCAGCAGCACTGGTTGCCACCAGGGCAAACAAACACACAAACTTAAACATATCTCTTTTAGTTGAAAATTTAAAAAAAATTAAATTTTTAATCCACAATCTATATGGTTTTATCCTTTAATACTTTTAATCCACTATTATTCAATTTTTTGGTTTTTGCTCGTTGATAAAGCGTTCAATTGAACGGTTAGAAGGCAACCGGTAAACTGTGACTTGAAGACGTTTGTGGGTCGAGTTTTATTACCGAACTCGCAACATACACAACATAGTATTCAATAGCTGAGAAAACGTTTAATGTATATTCACTAAAACAAATATTCACGTACACATTTTGTTAACAACAACCAACAACAAGCAACAACAGCAGCAACAGCAACTACAGCAACTACAGCAACAACATCAACGACATCAACAATAAAACAATAAAAGCAGTTTACGCGATACACGTTCGAGAAAAAAAAATTACTCAAAATTACAGAAACTACCGATAATAACTCCAGTGCGTTGAAGCCAAGCTTACAATTTAAATAAGCCGCGCATAAACGAGCTGCTGTTTTTGTTGTTATGGTTCATTTTGCCTTGTCTGAAGCCATTGACAATGACAATGAGCCGCACTACGCAGACACTTACCCAAGAGCTGCTTGCTGCTCTTAAGTGCGGTTCCAAGCTGTCATTGAGTGGCTTTAAAGCCGCTCTTGAGCTGTTTTTGCATATTTTCAATGCAAAAAAAGCGCCAAGCAGTAGTCATAATGTAATTTCAATATTTGTGAAGCTTCTGTTATTGTTGTTGTTGTCTTTATTAAATAACTGTAAATGCACTGTGGAACTTATTGATTATTTGCAAAATATAAATTTTAATCGTATTTACAAAACATGAATAAAAGTCAGATTTTATATTTCAAAGGCTATTATTATTCTCATTATTTTTTTTTCTTAACATAACGGGCTAGTGTTTTTTTCAACTTTTTTTTATTGCTATCCATCACGCCCCTCCTCCTATCTTACGTTCTTATTGCAAATATTATCAGCAGTCATTCACTGTTTTACTTTTTTCTTTATATATTATGTATATTATACAACATATATTATATATATATAATATAATAATATACCTATAATAATAATATATATTATATATATTAAAATATAATATGTATATATAATACATTATGTATATATAATATATATATATATTTGACTTTCGTATGTTGTTAAGGATTTTATTGATATTAATGAGATATTGTCTCTGACAGAGTTTTCAGCAAAAAATATAAGCAGTTTAAGCATCAGACCGGTTTCATAATGTAAATTGGAGTCACAAAAAGAGGAAGCAGTTGAATTACATCAGTTAGGTATATATGTCAGACATTAAGTTATTTGACTAAATTATGGATCGAGAACGGTAGCTTTCTCTGTTAACCAAATCAACCGTAAATTAAGTGAAAATTTGCTGAAATCGAAATTGGAAAACATAAATGTAAATAGATTGGACGTTTGTTATGAAAACTTTTAGATAATATGATCCATATGGTATTACAGTACACCACTCAAGACAGCTGACGATAATGTCAGAGATGATGAAAGTAAAACAAAATGAACCAAATTCTACAAACAAATAGAAATAGTAACAGAATATAGTAGACAGTGAAGATTACAAACGGAGTACCTCTTTCTACTATAATGGTTAATTGAAATCTTCCAATTACTGGACCAAGATTAATATTCTTATTAATTTAGTGTTTTAAACATAATTATGACAGTTTCTTTTTTATTCCGCCATAATAAAAGTAAAAATGAAATTTTTTAAAAGCGACTTACATATAAATATTTCTGATCTGTGATTTGTTATATGATGTAATCAGATACGTTAGGACTTAATTGTAGTTTCAAAGAGGAGCCAGAACTTATATTATCTAGAACAGAAAAATCTTTTTGACAGTTTGTAATCTTTGAAGGCACTCCAGAGTGCTTTAAAAATATTTCTAAAATACTTGAAAAGTTATTAACTCCATTATATTGCATATATTATATTAATTAAGTTTCATTATAATGATTGTAATCATTATTTGCATGACACATTTTTGGAATATTAAGAGTTATTTAACTGTACATTGTTTTTGTGGGAAGACTTTTTTTAAACCCTATATATAATCTGATATTGTAAATAACCCACGACCTCTTCCTAATCTTATTCGGATCTTCAACTAATAACAAATCTTCTCAATTTTGGCTAAGTACTTAGAATAAAATTTTATCTTCTTATCTTTTAATAATTGTCTTATCTTTTATGCAAAGGGTTAGGGTATTTAAACGTAGTCGGTTACTTGATTATTTAGTAAAGTGTTAGAGAAATTTAACAAAGACACACGAAGATCTCTGAGGTAGATACACTAGGAAGTATATGTCGTTGAATTATATACAAACATTGGTGAATTCGGTTCCTAGATGGCTGCAAAAAGTTATAAATGTTAAGGAAGGTTATATATTTTTTTTATTAATAATTAACATTAATGGGTCAAAGCGTTTGCTTTGTTCAGTTATCTATATCAAAATATGTGTCAAAATACTTATATGCCACTTTACTTTTCTGTAATATGTTTTGTTATATTCGTATATACATTTTGCGATAAAGAAATATATCTTTTCAAGATATTTATTTTAAATATAAAAATATTAAATGGATTCCTTATCAAAAGACTTATACCGTTGACTGTTTATCTGAGTATCTCTACATCAATTCGATAATAATTGCTTTAAAATTATGAATTTCTTGCCACAGTGCAAAATAAAACTTATGAAAAACAGATTCTTCAAATAAATTGAAAGAATTATTTGAGCGACAATCAATGAGAATTGGATTTTTCTTTCTGTTTAACTGAATTCTATCCAAGTTTTTCGATAAAATCATTTTTGGAACATCAACGTCAGAAAACTGATTAATCGTTGCCGGCAAGAAATGTTGTCTGAGAAGTGCGTAAATCATCGCCAGTCAATTTCTTCACGTCGAAAACTTACAATGGTGTGGACTGCAAAATTGACAAAAGTTGGAGGAGTTGGAAGAGTAATTGCGTAAAAACTGTGAACTGTTGTTGACTTAGACAGGCTTGATTAAATATTGTGGACACGTGATGTGATATGGACAAGCTGCAACTGCGAAGACAACAGCGTCGCTTCACCGCCGTGCCTCTGCTTCGACAGTGGCAGTGGCAGTAGCAGTGGCCAAAGAGTACGGAATTATAAGAGATGGCTATGGCATTGGCAATTCGTATCTGAATATGTGTTAGTAGCGTTGAGCGTATGTCTCATTGCGTAGCTCCATACTTTTATTGACGTTTTATTGTTGACTCGACTAAAATCGACAGACGATAATAATATTTTCTTAAGATTGATGACCATTAATTTGTTGCATTTGAAAAAACGTCTAAAATTAAATTAGAGTAAAATAGAAAATTAACTAGTTTACTTGCACATAATAAATATATGAAAAATTTCACTTTAATCTGCTACCAAAGAAGCTGAAGTAGAGTGTGGCTTGTTACTGCTTGGAATCACACATTTCAGCGTTTTGTTTGCAGATACTCTCGTTGGCATTTATTCGAGTGATTTGTATACTTCGACTCACTTATCTATCATTTCTTCTATTATCTCATTATTATTTCAGTTAATTTTTCTAATAAACTTTACTTTTTATGCATATGATCAAAATGTATCTTTTGTCACACGTATTTACGTAATTAAAATATTTTTTTTTTAATCAATTTGCATTTAAAGAATTAAAGTGCACGAATAATAACTTAAAGTTCACTTTTACTTCTTCGAGAAAAATGTTAAACTGTATTGTAAAAAGTGAAAACACAGTTGAATGTGCAAAAATATTTAAGTAATTATTTTATATTTATTGTCTTAGTGTTGAAAGATATTGTCTACAGATATTTAAAACTAAAGCAATTTGTAAAAGTTCAGAGATACTTCTGTATGTTGCCATAGCTTTATTTTTAATAACAACATACGGGTTAGCATTGATATAGAAGTAAATCTATGGATACCGCATTAAAAAATTAGCTCCTCATAGTACATGACCTCAGGATTACTATGATATAATATACACTGTCAAATCAAAAATTTACTTTTTTTTCGAATTTATAAGTCTATTGCAACCTTACTCCTTGCTAAGGTTGAACACAGTTTTAATTTAAATATTTCCTTCTTAGTGTCAACAGTTGATTTCTTCGGAATATTTCACAGAATCTATAAATTCCACCCAAACAAACAAATCTTATAAAAGCTAATATACACAGTATTTAAATGCGGAATATTGCACAACGGTTTGCTATTAAACACACTTGACGTAGTCACAGGAGTAAGACAAGGGAGCCCATTATCACTACTTCTATTTCTTCTCGTGGTGAACGAAATGATGCGAGCATCCTTAAAAAGCAACAAAGATATCCAGTAAAATCTATTCATGGAACTGAAAGTTGTGAAATATAGAGGTGACGTTTGCCTACTCAGGCGTAACGTCTGAGTCATACAAGAAAATATTAAAGCACTTGGAGTAAATGCAGTAGTCGCCGGCCTAGAGACAGCAGTCAATCGGAAATGGCGTTGGATAGGCCATAATCTTTGCAGTTCCCATGTAAACATTGCACGCCAAGTTTTGAGGTGGAATACTCAAGTCAGCCGTCAACTTGGAACGGCAGCTAGAGCTTGGAGGAGGACAATTGAGAAAGAACTATGAAAAGTCAATTATTCCTGGTATTATATTTGCCAAGAATCAAGTAATAGAATCCGATCCTAAAAATGGTGGAGGTCGTATGTTCCACTGGAATAAGAGGACAGGACAAGAATAATTGTTCATTTATTGCAAAAATTATAAAATTATTCTAAAAGGTGAAAATACGTATATTCGTTTATAAATTAAAATTAATTAATATAGGGGCTAACAGGATATAAAATGTTTTTTTGGTTTAATACAAACAAAAAAAAAACTATTACACATCTACATTTAACATCGATTTCTGTTGAACTAGTTGGAACCGAAATGCTATGTTGACAGGTCTGTAACCCTGATAGTGGTTTATTTACCTAGTAGGTAAATTCAGAACTTGCGAAGAAGTGGTAATTATATTGAGAGCATTAGACACCTTGCAGCTAATTTCGGTAGTTTCTAAGAGGAATTCTATTATCTCATTACTATTGTGAGATCTTGTTGATTATCTGTCTTGTTTGTTATCTGGTTTATTTCACTATTATTAGTTGCTAAGGACAGTCTCATTTTCTTATCACTATAGCCA